CCCGATCTTTTGTCTGAGCATAGCCCCATCACTTCCATCCGAAGCATCACACATTACTTCGAAGGGGAAGTCCCAATTCGGTGGTTGGACTATAGGTGCCATAACCAACTTCTCCTTTAGTACATCGAATGATTCTTGGAATTGTTGGTCGAAATTGAAGGCTTTATCCTTATGTAATAGCTCGCATAATGGTTGCGCCACCTTAGAGAAATCCTTAATAAATCTACGGTAAAAACCTGCATGACCAAGGAAAGATAGAATTTCCCTCACCGTAGTGGGGTAAGGAAGTGAACGTATTATATCGGTCTACCGTAATTCCTTTAGATGAAACAATATGTCCTAGAATTAGAATTTTATTAACCATAAAGTGACACTTTTCATAATTCAGAACAAGGTTAAATTCTAGGCATCGACGCAACACATTTTTCAAGTTTAATAGACACTCATCGAATGAATAACTGTAAACAGTGAAGTCGCCCATGAAGACTTCAATACCTTTCTCAATAAGATCAGAAAAAATACTAATCATACACATTTGGAATGTGGCATGTGCATTGCAGAGTCCGAAAAGCATACGTCGGTAAGCGAATGTGCCGAATAGGCATGTGAATGTAGTATTTTCTTGATCTTCAGGTGCTACTGGAATCTGGAAGAAACCTGAAAATCCATCAAGACAACAATAGTGAGATTTACTGGCTAATCATTCTATCATCTGATCTATGAATGGAAGAGGAAAATGGTGTTTTCTAGTTACAAAATTCAACTTCCATTAATCGATGCAGACTCTCCATCCATTCTGAACTCGTGTTGGTACAAGTTCTCCTTCAGAATTTTCAATCACAGTAACTCCTATTTTTTTAGGAACTACATGTATCAGACTTACCCATTTGCTATCCGAAATTGGATATATAATATCTGTATCTAGGAGTTTTTGTATCTCATTTTTACCACTTCCATCATTGATGGATTTAGCCGACGTTGACCTTCACGTGTTGGTTTTGCGCCTTCTTTGGTTTTAATTTTAAGCATGCAAGTGGATGGAATCAACTCTTTTATATCAGCGATGGTCCATCCTATAGCCTCATTGTGTTGGCGCAAAACAGTGATTAAGTCTCTTTCCTCCTCATCGGAAAACTTTTTTGATATGATTACTAGTAGAGTGTTGTTTGCTCCGAGGAAGACGTATTTCAAATGATCAGACAACGGTTTTAGTTCAACTTCAGGTGCCTGCAAAATAGAAGGTAAGACTTTAGGCTTGGAAGAAATCAAATTCAATTCGGTATAATTAGAATTCACGTTTTCATCATGATCCTCTAGCTCCCTGCATATATCAAAGGAAAAATTAGTCCTTAAAAATTTATCAGTCAAAGAATCAATTAAATCGATAGAATTTAAACTTTCCACTTTATCAGGATATCTAATTGCCTTATAGACGTCAAATTTAACAATCCCACCGTCAAATTCCATAGTTAAAATTCCGCTTCTCATGTCAATTTTCGCGTGTGTAGTGCTTAGGAAAGGGCACCCCAGCAGGATATCAGAGGATGTGCTTGTGCGATCATTCTCTATATCGATTATATAAAAATCGGCGGGAAATATCAAGTCGTTTACCTCCACCAATACATTTTCTAAGAGTCCTTATGGATAGATCACTAACCTGTCGGCAAGCTGTATCGAGATCTTTGTATCCTTCCAAGGATTGTTAGTAACCATTTTATAAACAGATAGAGACATTACATTAATTGATGCGCCAAGATCACACATTGCTCATTTTATCTCAACCTTACCAATTTTACAAGGGAACGCGAACATACCTTGGTCTTTTAGGTTAGGTGGTAACCTCCATTGAAAAATGGCTGAGACGTTTGCTCCTAAATTCACTTTCCCGACCCCGGTAAGCTTCCTTTTAGTCGTACAGAGATCCTTTAAAAACTGGGCATACCTTGGAACCTTCCCAATAACCTCAAGGAGAGGTATGTTAACTTCCACCTTCCGAAGTACGTCTAATATTTCCTTTTCCTCAGTTTTTATCTTTTTTAACTAACCTTGATGGAAAAGGCGGTGGCACGTCGTAGGGAGATGGCGTCGAGTCGTCTATTTGTTCTTCGTTATTCTCTTTCTGGGACCTAGAATCATCAGTCTTTTTCTTCTTTTGGGTTGCTTCGTTTGATGGAATAGGCGGTGCCACTACTGTACCGCTTCGAAGAGTGATGGCTCTGACGTTCTCCCTCGGGTTTACTTTAGTTTGAGATGGAAGTTTACCTTGTGATTCCAAGTGACCTACGGTTTGAGCCAGTTGGCTCATCTGCTTGTCTATCTCTTGTAAGTGGGCTTCAGTATGATTCTAGAATTTTTTCTGGGAAAGTGTTAACCTCTCGACAATTGATTCTAATGATGACTTCTGCTATTGTTGCGGTAGTGGAGGTCTCACTTGATAGCCTTCATTCGGTCTCAGGTTCTGAGCATAACTGAAGTTCGGATGATCCCTCCATCCTGGGTTGTATGTATTACCGTAAGGATTATAAGCTCTTTGAGGAGGTCCCTGAAAATTCCCGACTGCATTGGCTTGAGCTGATGTGTCGTCTTGAATCAGTGGACAACCGTCTGTCGGATGATCAGGTAATGCACATATTCCACATAATCGATTTTGTCCTGTTTTTCCTGTAACAAGAGAGTTTACGACTTCAGTTAACTTATCTATTTTATTTTCTAAGGAAGATGAACTTATCTCATGAACCCTTCGAGAAGGTTCATTATTTGTGTGGAACTGTTGGCAATTTGTAGCCATCGTCGATATTAAGTTCCTAGCTTCAGTAGGAGTCATATTCACCAAGGCTCCGCCGCTGGCAGCGTCAATCATCTTCATTTGCAAGGGAGATAATCCTTCATAAAAGTGTTGAAGGAGTGTTTGCTCGACCCATGTTGTGGGCAACTAGAATATAATTTCTTAAACCGCGCCCAGTAGTCGTAAAGTGACTCTCCATCAAGCTGCTTGATTTCAAGTATTATCCTTCGTAGTTCACTTACTTTTGCCGTAGGGAAAAACCTATCAAGAAAAAGACGAGTCATTTAAGCCCATTTAGTTACAGATTTAGGAGGAAGATAAAATAACCACTCTTTAGCCGAATCGGCTAAGGAAAAAGGAAAAGCTGTAAGTTTTATTTGGTTCTCGGTTACTCCCTGTGGTCTCATGCTGGAACATACCATATGAAATTCCTTGAGATGTTTGTGTGGATCTTCGTTCGGCAATCCGCAGAATGTAGGGAAGAGATGAATATGACCGGTTTTCAACTGATACAGAGTTTCGCCTTGGGGAAAATCAATGCACTTAGGCCCTTGCTTAGTAGGTGCCATAGCTAACTCCCGAATAGTAAGATCGGCCATCGAATTTATATTACCTGAATTAGATTCTTCTTTTGGATTTGTTTCTTGTCTCCTTCTTTCCCAAAGCGTCTGTGCGTGGAGTCTCCTAGCTTTGGCTTCAATCTTCGGGTCGTACTCCACTAATGCTCCTGGATTAGACCTGGCCATATATCAAAAGCAAACAAAAATTAGTAACTTTGGCGAAGTCCCTGACAACGACGCCAATTTGACAATTATCATTTTGGATGTCAAAATAAATTCCTTATTATCAATAAATAAATAAAGGAAATACGTAGTAAAGAGAAGTAAAGGTCGATTCCACAGGGACTTACAAAATTATAAATTTATGTCTGATTTATTTATGCCAGACGTGAAACAGTAAAAATGGGGGGTTTGGTAAGAAAATATTAAAATAATAAAATTGATTAAATAAGTAAAAACAATTAAAGTAAAAATAAGAAGATGAAGATTGAGAATAAATACGGTAAAAGTAGCCTCAAGCTTTGCTTTGACTCAATTTCCTTATGATCATCGAATAAGGTTTTCTCTTCGGGATTCACGTCGGTTACTTTGTCTACAAGGGCTATCTCTATGACTCTATCTTTTATACCGAATACCCAAGGCAATCTTTGATTCCGGCTTCGATAATTGATTTTAACAACATCAATTGTCGTAGATCAATTACCGTTTAAGTTCATGGCATCCGACTCGGATTGTTGCTTCGATAACCGTCAATTCCGATCTCAATTCCCTCTTGGAGAAGCTATCTCACCAAGTGTATTCCCAGGAAGTCGAATTGCTTTCTATAAGCCGAATCTTCCTCCCACACATTAAATCGCAACAACCTCTTGACCAAAGTCAATCTTTGATTTTGAAAACTGTTTTGATTTTGAAAAATAAGCGCAGAGATTGAGAGAGATATTCCGAAGATATTAAGGGTCTGTTTCAATTCTCCCGATGGAATTGAGTTATCGCGACAACTCTCGGCTTATGAAAAGTTTAGCTAAGCATGACAAAAGTCATACTTAGCATTTTGAAAACAAAGCTTGAAAAATAAAAGAAAAATGAAAAGAACTTGAAAAGTAAAAAGAGAAAACTTTTATAAAAACTAGAGAGAAAAGAATATTATAATCCGAATGATGAGTTTAGGCTTACCCCAAGTGGGTATTTATAGCTTCTCAAAGCCTAAAGGATAAACAAAGAAAACAAATAAAATAATCCTAAAGATAATTGTTTTTTAATTTAAATTCAAACTTAAACTAGTCTCCTAATGCAACTATGCTCGTCAATCTTCCAGAAGGCATGCGGAGGAAGTCTTATAGAAACCGTCGCTGACTGGATCTTCTAAAAACTACCACGTCAGACCGTGTCATGCCCAGAGTCGTGCTCATGTCTCCAGCCGTGACCAAATAATAAAAAAAATGCAGAATGCGCCCGTTTTGTCACTAATTCTGGAAAGTAAGGACATGCACGAAAACAAATATAACACGACCAATTTAGTAGTAATAATTTCTCAAAACCGAAGAAATAACGAGCAAATATTAACGATTCTAAATACTCATAAAAAAGAATTAAAAGATATGTTCTTCAACTATCACGCATTTCTGGGGAAAAAATAGTAGTATACACAAGATTTAAAAACGAAGAATCAAACAACAAATAAAGATGATGAAGCATCATCATCGTCAGTACCTTTAATAATACTCATCTCCGTCTGATCTAATGATGGAGAAGAAGAAGATACACAATGGGTATCACCAGCTTTTATTGGACAAACACAAGGAATGGTTGTTGAAGAACAATCCTCAGAGGAAGACGACGAAGGAGAAGTGTAAAAGGATAAAGGGGAAGAAGGTGAACAGATATTATCAGATTTTGAATTAGAAACATTAATGGCGAGTCGAGCTACAAGCATATCAACGAAGGCAGCAACGATGTAGCCATGGTTGCATTTTCCATTGGCTCTCAAATACCAAAACAATAGTTGTTCAAGCCCTTCCCAATCTTTAAACCCCTCAGCTTCAACCATTTCTTCCATGGACACCCTGAAATCAGTGTACGGATCTGGAGACTCCATTGACAACACCACAGTACTGTCTTTAAAAGGCAACAACCCATCAACACCATCATCATCTTCTTCTTCCTTATTCCTTTTTGTTGCCTCTTCCATGATTGAACTGGTCTCTCCAGGCTCGAAAAACAGCCTATCTGACCTTAAACCTCGGATGACAGTCTCTAATGGAACAGTATCATCAGCAATGGAATCTAAGTAAGCTGAGGTGCTGTCGTCTGCTCTGAAAGAGAGAGTTCTGGGCTGGTGACAAGAAGGCAGCCATTGCCAAGAGGATTTATGTACGATGTTGCTGTGCTTGGCATTGGAAAGAAAAGAGAAGTTCATCTTCTTCCCCATGTTGATGTTTTGGTCTGGGTTATAGTAAGAGAATTATGATAAATAGAAACAAGAAAATGGAGGGTAGCCGAGGATGGGGTGTTTTTGAAATGGTTTAAAATATTGGAAGTTTGACGATATGTATAAGATGTGAATTGTTTTATTGTGTGGGCATTTATGGGTGAGTCAGACTGAGAGGTGGGAAAATTTTAAAGGAGTGGTGAATCAATTACGCAAGTTGGGTGTTATCAAAAAACAAAAAAGTATTCGAAGACGGAGAAGTTGAAAAATGACATAAGACAAAAGTAGTATTTAATGTTTGCATAAATGAATATTTTGAACTTTATTTTTTTTTAGTATTTTAATTCTTAGCCTTTTAAATTTTGGTTGAAAAACTTATGTTGGATGAAAATCGATAATCAACTAATGATCTATATATATTGTTAGTGTGAAATTTTTATATGAGTTTAATTAATGACGTGACATAGGTTACTTCATCACTTTAATGACATGATATATGATATGATAGTAATGAAGTGTATGTGAAAAATATCACATCGGTAACTTGTGTTAACAGTTAGTCAACTAATAGTTTTCACCCAACAAGAGTTATTTAAACCAAAAATTAAAATGTTAGGAGCTAAAATGCTCTAAAAGTATAAGAAGCAAAATCAACTTTTGAGCAAACTTTAGTTGTTAATTTTATCATGGGTAAAGTACACAAATGGTCCTTTAATTATAAGACATTTTTATTAAGTCCTCCAACTATTAAAAGTTATGAAATGATCATTCGAATATTTATATATTTGAAACTCATCCTTTTCTGCTAAAAAAAGATGGTCGTATGAGTTAGATGTTAATATGTTAATTGTAATATGATTAAATTATATTTTACTGATGTCTAGTGGAACTGTTGTTGCCAGGGATGTAAACGAGCCGAGTCGAGCTTGAGTAATGGTAAGCTCGACTCAACTCGTAAACTCAAAAATAAAACTGGACTTTGCTCGAAAACTAGCGAGCCTAAAAATTTCAAGCTCAACTCAAACTTGAAACCATGAATTGAAGCTCGAAATAAAAAAATTCTTAAACTTAACTCGATTGAAGCTCAAGCTCGAACTCGAACATAAATCTTAAATACATAAAAACCTTATACTGTATCTTTTGAAAATCAACATATAAATGTTAATATTATTAATAATTTATTTATAAAAAATCTTAATATATTATATTTTCAAATTACTCAAGAGCTTTTTGAGTCGAGCTCAAGTCAGGTCGAGTATTTATCAAGCAGTGAGTCGATCTCATATAGCCCACGATCTGTCTTGTCTCATTTACAGCCCTAGTCGTTGCTCTCAAGCATTGACTCGACGACATAATGTTCTAAGCATTGGTTCGATGTCATAATATAAATGAAGAGTCAATCCACAAAATATAGCTCAAATAGTTATAAGATAAGATTTTATCATATCCTAGTGTCGACACCGTTTTTCGCCCGGGCGGGGAAAGACCGATACCGTTTTCCCGGTGGAGTCGCCAAGTTGTCGACACCGTTTTTCGCCCGGGCGGGGAAAGACCGATACCGACACGGGGGTTTTCTGTTTGAAAATCGTTTCAAAATGTGAGGAGTCGCCACCAATCATTTAAGGTGCAATTGGAACAATGTAAAAACCGGGTGATTTTAATAAAATATTTTATTTTAATAAAATACCGAGTTTTAGAGTCTGTGAAAAATCTATAAATCATGTTCGGGAGTCGGAAGCGCCCAAATATTGGTACCTAGTTTATTACCCTATATTTAAAAGCAGAAATTTTGAGTTTGGTCTTTATTTAATTTAAAAATCATTAAGGATGCAAAGTTGAAAAGGGTATTCATTTATCGAGGCCGATAGCATTCGCCCCCGAGAGTAAACGCGAGAGATCAACTATTGTGCCTAATAACCGTATATTGCCTCATTTTTAGAAAATGATGCAATTTTGAAAAGGATGTCGACTTATTTAGGGAATCACCAGTAGTCACCCCTGAGCATGATCGCGAGATACATACTATTAATTCCTTAATAAGTGAACAATACGATCAAGCAAAACTTTATTTGTCCTAATTATACTAAAACTAAATTAAGGTTTTTTCTAACTTACAGTGATAAATTATGAAAATTAAAGAACCTAGGGGCTTAAATCTAAAAACTTAGGCTCTAATATTAATCCTATTTGATTTTAATCGATTATTGAGTCGAATAACCGAAATGGTCCCTCGAGCTTTTAAGCGAGAGTCACTTCAAATTATCCCCTAAATTAAGAGACTAATTTAAAATCTAAGTTAAAATGGAGGCTCTATTTAACATGTTAATTATGTCAATATTACGAGTCCAATTTAAGTTCAGACACTAAAAAGATCAAGGTCTAAAATACCGAGTTCTAAAAGATCTAAAAGTTTGGGACCTAAATTAATAATTTCTAAAGTTAAGGGGTAATTAAAGACCTAATTATTATCTAAATTATTAAATAGAATTTTAGAAAATATTAATTATTAATTAATTTTTAATCGAACAATTGATTCGAGTATTAAGGCGAATAATGCGAAAAATCGACTCAAATTGTTCCCTAAGTAAACTATAGTGTCATCCTAATTTCTAATTTTGATTCGAATATTAATATAATTTAAAAAATAAGTCTAGAATAATTGAAATTATGAAACAAGTCAAAATAGTAATAAACTTAACAATAATTAAAATAATTAAAACAATAAATAATAAAAATAGTAAAACAACCAAAATATAAAAAAAAAATATAAACTAAAACATATATAAGGACCTAATTATAATAATAATATAATTATATTGACTAAAATGCAATAAAATAAAAACAACTAGTAAATAAATAGGAAATAAACAATGATCGAAATGCAAAAATTAAAATTACAATAGTTAAATCAAAAACTAACAGCGACTAAATTGAAATGAAACAAAATTGAGTAATAAAATTAAAATAAATTAAAAATGAAAGGTCCAGTGACCAAAGTGTAAAAACACGACTAAATTTAAAGGACTAAAATAGTGAATTTACCAGATAATTAAAGCATGCATAACAAATTGGCGTAATATCAATTTTGGTCCTTACATGTACCATAACATAAAAACACGGCAAAGTTACTAGCCTTTAAGATGCAATTTACCCATTATTTTTCCATATATATATCAAACTTAGGCTTTTTTCTTTCATTTGAGCTAAAAACACAAAAATAAAAGGGGAGAGTTCGGTCGGCCGCCTCGCCTTCCCCCCGGTTGCCATGCGGCCATCGTTCCGGCCGCCACATACGGTAGTCGGAATCTCCAAACTTTCCCAAAATAGCCTAAATGTTCGGATCTAGACCCCTAAACCTAGATCTAAGGCTAAATCTCCCAAAAACAACCCTAATCAAGCCACAACCGTTCGATTTTCACACTCCGGCCACCGGAGAAGGTGCATTGGCTCTCTTCCATTAACTCCTTTCTAAGGTAAACTCTATTCTCTCTCTTGGTTTTTTATTTTCGCATGCAATTTTTTTACATCATTCGAATACTAAAAAATAAGTAATAATACCTTAAAAAGCTCTTTTTTATTTCTTTGTTGTAGATCTGGAAAACTCCCCTCATTACAATTTTGTCCGGGTTTTTTATAGCCCGATTCTTACATTTTTCTTTGCTTTTTCTTTTCTTTTTACTTTTTTTTCTGAAACAAAATGAGTAGAGTAAAAAATAAATTGAAATCATTGTGTTTGCATTGGATCCAGTTGTCTGTTGGTGGAGAAATCGGTGATAGTGCCAGAATGGGGCCGGTTTGATCTGGACCATTGCATGGGTCCAGATCGAACGGTGTTAGGGGGCGTCGGTAGCATCCAAGAGAAAATTTGAGGTAGCAAGGTGAGTCGGGTTGAATTGGCTGGGCCTCAGGTCAGGTTGGTTTGGGTTTGGTAATGTTTGTAATGGGCTTGTAATTGGGTTGCATTGGGTTTGTAATAATAATAATATTAATATGGATGAAAAAAATATGATTACAACTGCCTCTCTTTGCTCATTGTTTTGGAACAGGAATGAAGCAAAGAATAAAACACCATTTTTTTAGATCAAACTGTTCTTCTTGATGCGAGTTCTTCTCATTATGAACTCTTTGCTGGGGATGTCAATCCACTTCTTTCTATGATGGAAACAAACATACTATCGGTGCTGATCTAACTCATTCTGTGATAGAATCAAGCAAAAAGTTGAGCAAGTTCTTCTCATTATGAACTTTCTCTTCTAAGATGAGTTCTTCTTATTATGAACTCTATACTAAAAATGTTGATCCAAGGCCGAACAAGTTCTTCTCATTATGAACTCTCCACTGTGAATGTTGATCCAAGGTCGAACAAGTTCTTCTCATTATGAACTTCTTCTCCCTCTTTGGACGAGTTCTTCTCATTATGAACTCTCCACTGAGAATGTTAAGCCAAGGTCGAACAAGTTCTTCTCATTATGAACTTCTTCTCTCTCGTTGGATGAGTTCTTCTCATTATGAACTCTCCACTGAGAATGTTAAGCCAAGGTTGAGCAAGTTCTTCTCATTATGAACTTCTTCTCCCTCGTTGGATGAGTTCTTCTCATGATGAACTCTCTATTTGAAATATTGATCCCTCAAGCGAGGCGTCACTGATTCGAAATACCGTGAATCAAGTGATAGGTCGAACAAGCTTTTCTCATTATGAACTTCTTCTCCCCCTGTCGAATAAGTTATTTTCATTATGAACTCTCAATTTGAAATATTGATCAGTTCATATTCTCTTTGAAAAGTTTTAAACCTGCAAAAGATTATTATATGTCAGTGATTTAGTATTAAAGTACCAGAAAGTATTGACCTTTTGGTCTTCAAATTTGCTGTAATCCATGAAAATATGGACTAATTCTTTGCGGAAGTTATGAAATGAATCTTTCGTTGACTCTTTGAGTTCCTGTCACATTTTCAAAACTTTATGTAAGTGTATGCATATGCTCCTATTCAATGAATGTATGAGTATGCATGGTGTGTTTTTTTGGGTTTTAGAGTCTCGTAAGCCTTTGTTTTCCTATTTTTATCTCTGTCGAATCCCTATCTTTGTCGACTTTTTGTTTGATCTGTAATTCTTCTCATTATTTTCTGTGTTACTCGGGTTGTTGTCATTTCTTGTTTGTCCCTTTCGTCAACCCTTTACTTTAATTAGTGCAAATATCGACCAAATGGATGGCCTTGGATTCCCAGTATTTTACAGGTCAATCAAAAGTAATACCGAGAAATTTTTGGAATTTGTATTATGCTAGGTTACTTGTGGCACGCCTAAAAGAATGAGTTGAAGATTAAAATGATACTCATGAAATTTATTGAAAAAAGAGAAGTTTTATACAAAGTCATGGCAATCAACAATATTGAACAAAGACTCTGGAAACATAGTAGTATATATCCCAATGAATTCTAGCACAATTGTTCCTAAACCATTTGATTTGACACCCTGAGGTGGTCCTCTTTTTGGGAGATCACAATGCGATAAATTTGTTTACAGAAGTGAAGTCCTTTATGAAGTACTAGTCTCTCGAGGTCCATATCAAAATGTATTTGAGCCCCCTTTCTGGTTTTTAACTCAAATCCTCCTTTGGTTTCAAGGCGCCCTCTTTTTTTTTTGTTTTCTTCTCATGCGTAGCATTTCTTGACAGAGTCTGAATTTATAGGATTTTTCAGTACTCTTCCGTCCATCTCCACCAAAATTAAAGCTCCTCTAGAGAAGGCACTTTTGACAGCATAGGGCCCCTCCCAATTAGGCATCCATTTTCCGCGAAAATCCTTCTGGATTGGCAAAATCTTTTTTAATACTAGATCTCCCTCTTTGAACTCTCTTGGGTGTACCTTTTTTTCGTGGGATCTTATCATCCTCTTTTGATACATTTGCTCATGACATATAGCTTTCAGTCTTTTCTCTTCAATAAGATTCAACTGATCAAGGCGAGGCTGGATCCACTCTGCTTCCTCCAATTCCACTTCTTTTAAGACTCAAAGTGATGGGATTTCAACCTCAATAGGTACGACAGTCTCTGTTCCATAAACCATAGAGAAAGGTGTTGCCCCGGTCGGTGTACACACTGTCGTTCTATATCCATATAGGGCAAATGGTAACTTCTCGTGCCAATCTCTATAAGTTTTTGTAAGCTTTCAGCGTGATTGCCCCAATGACGTCCATGCCCCACATAGAGAACGGTCAGGGTGAGCTCATGACATATAAAGGTGATGATGATGCCTTAATTTTATCTGTATATATCTGGCATTTATGGCATCTTCTCACATAATTGACGTAATTTGTATGCATCGTGACCCAATAGTACCCATATCTCATGATTTTTCTTGCCATGGACAAATCATTTGCAAGCGTTTCACATATCCCCCCATGCACCTCTTCCATCACATTCTTTGCTTCTTTGGCAGTTACACATCTCAGTAAAACGTGGTGACTGCACCTTCTGTATAAAATTTCCCAATCAAGGAGGTATTCGACCGCTATTCTTCTGATTATTTTCTTATAAATTTCAGATGCACCGGGGGGATATGTTTGGTATCTCATATACTGCATAATATCGTGGTACCATGGATGGCCATCTATTTCTTCTTCTATGTGACATCAGTGAGCCAGGGACTCATATATTTGTATCCTTATGGGCATCATGTCTATTCTCTTATTAGCTTTAAACATTGCTGCTAAGGTAGCTAATGTGTATGCCATTTGTTTTTCCTCTCGTGGGAGGTATTTGAACGTGACATCCTCAAATTCTTTTAGTAATTTGAGGACTAAATTTCTGTATGCGACTAGCTTCAAGTCTTTCGTCTCTAATTCCCCCCTTAGTTTGTATACCACTAGCGTGAAATCTCCGCATACTTTGAGCGTTTTGATCTTTCTTTCAATGACCGCTTTTAACCCCATAATGCAAGCTTCGTATTTGTCCATGTTATTGGTGCAAAAGAAATCTAATCTTCTTGTGAAAGAATAGTAAATCTCATTTTGGGAAATCAACACTGTCCCAATTCCATTTCCTAAAGCGTTAGAGGCACCATCAAAGTATAAAGTCCAAGATTTGTTGCCTTCGGAGCTCTCCTCCTCGGTAGAAATGCACATTAAATCTTCATCTAGGAAATTGAAGTTCAAAGACTTATAGTCCTCTGAGGCACGACTTGTAAGAAAGTCGACTATAACGCTCCCTTTTATTTCATTTTGACTCACATAGACTATATCGAACTCGGATAACAATATCTGCCACCTAGTCAATCTTCCAGTCAAAGTAGGGGACTCCATCAAAAATTTCAACAGATCCATCCTCAATATTAACCATGTAGTATGGTATAACATGTACTGCCTGAGTCTTCGGGTAGTACAAACTAAGGCACAACACAACTTTTGAATCGATGGGTATCGAGTCTCGCAATCGGTAAACTTCTTACTCAAGTAATAAATGACTTTCTTTTCTTCCTGATTCATGATGTTGCCCTAGTACATAACCCATTGAATTCTCAAAAATGTTAAGTAGAGAGAATTAATGGTCTGCCAAGTACTGGTGATATTAATACGGGGGCATAGGACAAGTACTTTTGGATAACTTCCAAAGCCTAATGGAATTCTTCATTCTATACCTCATGTCGTAACCGGTTTTTGCCCGGGCACGAATATTTTACTTGGCGGGAAAATTAAAATGAATAAATAAATGATTTTGATTTAAAAAAAATATTTTGGGAGTCTTCATTGACCTTTTTGGGTTAGGTATGTCAAATACCTAAAAACAATGTTTTAAAAACGTTTTTAAGAAAACATAACTTATAAGATAAACTAATCTGCGAATAACCAAAAATTTTTAATAAAAAATGATTCGTGGTCGGTTATGTTTAGGGAAGGATAGGCACCCCTATAACGCCCAAAATTAGTACTTATTAATTATAAATTGTCTCTATTTTTGGAAATTTAAAAATATATTTAATTCATAATCCTGTTTTTCAAATTTATTAGTATAATTTTAAAAAATATTATTTTTTATAAATATATATATATATATATATTATTTTTATAAATAAGATATTTATTTACTTAGAAATATCATAAAAGAACTTCTAGTTTCTTTAAGACATCACATTTCTTTAATATTAAAAAATAAATAAATATTAAAATATGATTATTTTTTCCTAAAAGTAATTTATATAAAATTAAATGTATAAATAGGATTTTTATTTAATAAAAAAATAAAATAAATAAATAAATATTATTTATTATATATATATATATTTATATGACTAAATAATAATAATAATAATTAAATATATTGAAAATAAACATATAAAATTACAATATAACTAAACAGTGAATAAAATAAATAAAATTAAAACTATAGTACTAAAATGAAAGTATTTAAAATTAGTGATTAACTTATAATATATTAAAATTAAATACCCTAATTCATAATTAATTATTTAATATTACAATGGCTAAATATGCTATTTTTCCTATTATTAATTTAGGGACTAAAATAAATATATATCAAATTCGAATATAAAATTAAAATAAATTAAAACATGCTTTCGGGATTAAAATATTAATTAATGAAATTAAAGGACTAAATCTATTATTTTACCTAAAATCTACATAGTTACGTTAGTGACTAAATTATAAAGAAATAAAAATTAAAAGATCGAATTATAAAGATCTAAGTTTGATTTCAGTGACTAAAATATAAAATTACAGATTTGTAATGGCCACGGGTATAGTTTACTTGTTTAAAATTACACCCATACCCCTCCCCAAAACGGCGTCATTTGGGAAGAGGTATTTAAACCCCTTATGGCCGGCCCTTTGGGCCATCTCCCACATTTTCTCATTTCTCATTCTCTCTCTAGCTGAGAGAGATGAGAACTCTCTGTCCTCTCTCTATATTACCCTCGTCAGAGGGAAACTGGTCGTCGACCGGCAACCGTATGTCATCGTCGACCCCGTAGCCGACCACCGCCTCCGGTGGCCGAAAAATATTATTTTACACAAAAATGAAGCCCCGATCTCCCCAAGGCCGAATCTAACCTTAGTTTACCCTAAAAAACTCCTAATCAGAGTAGATCTAAGAAAATACCTTAGGTATTTTCAGTTCTCCGACCACGTTTGGTGTTTTCAGCGATGATCGAAGCTTCAAGAGTAAGTTTTTCTTCTTCTCTCCTTTTTCTTTTCTTTGGTTTTTTTGCTTGCTATTGGTGTTCGTCGTTTCTCTTTTTTTTGTTCTTTTTTCTGTCGTGTGTTTTGGTTGCAGGGACTCGGTGGCTCTTATAGCCACCATCAGCGATGGCTTTGGACCGGTCTCAAAGAGGATTTTGGGTGAGTCACCGAACTTGTGGTGACTCACCGAAAATTGGCGACGCATATGTTGCTGGCAACCTTTTGGAGCCTTTATTTGGGTGTCGTGGCAGCGGCTGGTGAAGATGTCAGAGAGGCAGCCGGTATCGTGGCCCTAGGGTGATGATACCCTAGGGTTTCATTTAGAACCACGTGGACCGTTGGATCAATGCTAGATCCAATGGTGGAAAAGCAAGGCGGCGGCAGTACTAGGATATAAAACCTTAGTTGGAGTTTAGGGTTTTAGTTGGGCCTATTTGGGTTGTCTGGTTGTAAGTGGACCTCAGGTTTGTTTGGGCCTGTTTGTAATAATACTAATAATAATAATTTAAAAAATAATAATAATATAATAAACAAATAAAATAAGAATAAAAAACTAAATGAAAAAAATTAGTGTCTTCAGCTGCCCCTCTTTGCTCATTCTTGTGTTAACGAGAATAGGGCAAAGACGAAAAGACAATAAGTTTTTTTCATTTGACTTCACTTGATTAGGATGGAAATGTTAAACAAGTTCTTCTTCTTTGGGATTAGTTCTTCTCATTATGAACTTTTCCACTGGGGATGACAATTTATCTCCATCTGTGATGTAATCTAGCAAAATGTTGAACAAATTCTTCTCATTATGAACTTCTTCTCTTTCTTTAGATGAGTTCTTCTCATTATGAACTCTTCTGGAAATGTTGACCTTTAAAAGAGGTACTGTTGATTCAACTTCAATATATGATGAATCAAATTAAGGTTGAACAAGTTCTTCTCATTATGAACTTGTTCTTCCTCTTCAGATGAGTTCTTCTCATTATGAACTTTCTTTAGAAATGTTGATGCTGATCTATATTCTACTATGATAGAGTCATGCAAAAGGTTGAACAAACTCTTCTCATTATGAACTTCTTCTTCCTCTTCAGATAAGTTCTTCTCATTATGAACTTTCTCTGGAAAAGTGTATGCTGATCTATCTCCATTTGTGGTAGAGTCACACAAAAGGTTGAACAAGTTCTTCTCATTATGAACTTCTTCTTCCTCTTCAGATAAGTTCTTCTCATTATGAACTTTCTCTGGAAAAGTTGATCCATCGAGTGATGAATTCGAACAAAAGGTTGAACAAGTTCTTCTCATTATGAACTTCTTCTTCCTTCTTCAGATGAGTTCTTCTCATTATGAACTCTTCCGGAAATGTTGACCATTGAGTGATGGATTCAAATCTTTACTAAAATCTTTGAAATTCCTATCAAATATTCAACATGGATAAAATGAATGAAAATGGCCATATTTTTGCAAATGTCTAAATACGATGCATGAATGTTAAGTTCATTTTTATTTGATCTCAAAGTGACAAACTCTGTCTTCTTTCACTTATTCAAAATTATTTTAAACTGGAACTCTCGTCGTAGTTAGAACTATAACCTTGATGCCCCATTTGGTCTTTGATAAAACTGGCTTTCTTTTTCTGAACTTGCGTAGAAATCCAATAAATATTTCTTCTTTGAAAAGAGAATCTATCATCTTTTAAGAGAGAATCTATCATCTTTGGAGAGAGAATCTATCATCTTTGAAAAAAAGAATCTATCATATTTGAAGAATGTAGATGTAGATATGCCAAACTTAGTAGAGATAAATTAAGAGAGCAGTATGTTCTGATTTGACTCTTGAAACACATCATAAGGAGGATTTATCCTAATTCCTTTCATGTCTCCACATCTAATCAGATCTCAAACAAAGCCATTCAGACCATATTATGTCGAGATGCTTTACAATAATCTGTTGTTCAATCTTAGCTGGCTCCATTAATTTCTTGTTGTTAAAATTTCAGCTTCCCTTATGTGAAAAAAAAGCTTCATCATATCTCACTTCAAAGCTTGGTGTTAAAGAAGACAAACTTCATTTCGGATCAATAAATGGAAACACCATATGATCGCAACATTGGTTCAACACCATAATTACTGGTTCGTAAAAATTTTGACAACACATTCATCCTCTCCTGTGGCTTCTGCCCAGAATTTCTTTTCTGTTTTTCTGTTTTACTTGCTTCCAAATGACTCTATGATGGTAATAACTTGTTTACTTTTCAACACTATTTGCAAATGTTGATAAGACTTACTTTGGATTCCATGCACTTAAAAGTATTAACATAAAGTGATAGCAAGAAATCTTTTGCTTATTTCAAAATTATGTTAATCCATTTGCAAGATGTTTATATAAAAGAATAAATTGAATTTCAAAAATAAATTGAATTTCGAAAAGATAAACTTGGAATCTATTAATATATAGATAGAAATGTATTCAAAGTCATGGCAAACATAGGAATGGTAAAAATTCAAATGACTCAACAAATTATTAGCATAATTATTTCTAAACTAATCAAATTGATATAATTTAGAGCACTGAGGTAAGCTTATGTCTGGAAGATCTCAAACGTTTCCATAATGCTTGTAGGTGTAAAGTTTCTCCCAAAATATCAAACTCTTAAGAGGGTTTAATTGCCAGATGCCTAATATCAACATGCATTGGAGTAGCCCTTTCAGGTTTTCAACTCAAATCCTTCATTTGGTTGCAAGATGCCCTTTGCGGGTTTTCATCTTGACCCTCCTTTTCTATTTTCTTTTTTTTTTCATTTTTTTTTCATTTTTTTTCATTTTTTCTTCTTCAAGCATAATATTTCTTGATAGAATCTAAGTTTATTGGGTTTCTCAGAACTTTTCCATCCATTTGAAAAAGGCCTTTTTTACAACATATGGCCCTTCACAATTAGGCATCAATTTCCCACGAAAATATTTATGCATAGGCAAGATCTTTTTCAGCAATAGATCACCCTCTTGGAATTCTCTTGGATGTACTTTCTTGTCATGAGACTTCATCATCTGTTTCTGATACATCTGCCCATGGCAAATAGCTTTCAATCTCTTCTCATCAATAAGGTTCAATTGATCAAATCGAGCTTGGATCCATTCAGA